TACCATATTTCATTAAACTTACAAATTAATAAATAAAAATGTATAATGTTAAATTTTTTTTTTTTTTGCCTTTCATGAGAGATTTTTTTTTTTTTTTGATACCTTGTATGTGAGACCATATGTGATGATTGTAATATAACAAACGCCCTTTTGATTATGATTATTATTATTACGAACTAGATTTATATTAATAATTAATTAATTTAAAATTTTTTATTTTCCTTTGACAATCTAAAATGAAGCACACAACACATGTTAGTAAAAGCGAAAAAGATGTATGATAACGCCATATTCCTTGAAAAGAGATCGTCCCACAAAGAAAAGCAAAGCAGAAGAAAAAAAAAATTTCAAACTAAACCAATTATGTATCATTGACACACCCAATCCAATGTAAATTCTTTTCTTTCTTTTTCTTTTTACCTTTTTTTTTTTTTTTTAATGAATCAAAATGAAATTAAATAAAATAATAATAATAACAATAATAATAATAATAATAAGTCCAAAATAAAATAACAATAATAATCAATATGGCACGCACACACCACACATTTTTTTTTTTTACGTGTGCATCCTTGTAAGATGCAAAAAAAGGGAAAACTAGGAAAAAAAAAAAAAAAGCTTGTATGTGACTCTATAAAGTTATTGGATGCTTGAAGTGGGCATATTGCTGATTAAAAAAAAAAAAAAAAAAAAAAAGGCCTTTTTGATTCGTCTTTTCCTTTTTTTTACTTTTTACTTTTTTTTTGTTGTTTGTCAATCAAAATGAACTTTGAAATTATGGTAATATCTAAAGCGAATCGTTCTCCAATGATATTAACGCAAATGATTGAAAATTGTTGTTGCCGATCTCGAAATTAAGTGGTGCAAAAAAAAAAAAAAAAAAAAGCAGATCATCAATTTCGGATGAATGCTAATAAATGCTAAACACCTAAGCTTTGTCATTGAAAAAAAAGCGTTTAACCACATATCGAATCCATTTCTTATACCCTCGACGAATCCTTACCAAAAAAAGATAAACACGAAAGTGTGCAAACAGGGGAGATGAAAAAGAAGGAAGGGGCGTGTGTATGTGTTGTGCGTATATATGCTCATTCTTTATTAGTTTCGCGATTCAACCGATTAAGCAAAAAAAAATAACTTTATCAAGTGGTGGAACGAATGTTTTTGATTACTTTATTTACTTTAAAAGACATTGGGTGGATAAGAAATGATATGATGTTCGTTGTGAGTAAATACAAACCAAAAGGATTACACGTTTTCCTTCATGATCATCTTGTAACAAACCGGTAATAGAAATAGTTTGAGAGTTTTGGAAGCCACTTGGCGTACATTTTCTTTTTTTTTTTTTTTTTTTTTTTTTTTCTCAATTGGATTTCGCGATTTGAAAGGATGAATGAATGTAAAAAGGTACCAGATGAAAAACGGGGCGGGTCAACATATGCGTGCCGCAGTTTGTTATGTGAGGAAAAAAAAAGCCGCAAACGTTAAGAGATATCTTGATTCGCGTGGAATGTTGATATTTTTGGGAGATGATTTCCATAGAAACCATGCAATAAGGTTGTCATCAAATACGTCATGCTTTTCCTTTTTCCACCTTTAATAAATCCTTTAATATCAAACATAAACAAGCATAATCAAAAAAGTCAGGAGGCTTTTTACTATAATTAATTAGCCTAACGCAATTTCTTACATCTTGTTATTAATAATCGGGAACAAAGCGCAGCATTTCAGTTCAACTCTATTAATATTAAAAGGAAATTGATTTTGAGAAAAGGTGATGGGATGAGAATGGTTAAAGTCGAATGATTTTTTTTTTTAGTATAAATTAGTACATTAATGTAAGTACAACAACGGATATGTTATAATTTTTATGATGATCGACCTCATAGACACACTCTTTTCCTTTTGATACACTTTTTGATAAACTGGATGCTTTTTATGAGAGCTCCTACCACTTAGACTTTTACATTTTGAGTAACTCAAAACAAACCACATAATCCCCTCAACACTAAATTACATAACGTTTCAGCCAATAAAACGTCGTTAAGCTTGGGATTTTTTGAAACACGCTTTATCTTTTATCAAAGGAATTCCCTAATTTATGATTTTGATTATGATTATGATTATGTTTATTATTGTTATTATTATTATTTCACATCTGCGTAAGGATGGTAAACATCGGAAGCCTTTTTAAGGTTGCCACCACCTTTTTTTTTTTTTTTATATTCATCTTATTCTATTCCTTTTTTTTTATATATCAGTATCAAGGTATCAAAAGAAAAAAATAAAATAAATAAATAATATTAAAGATTAAACAAAGGGAAGGATTGATTAAACCAATATTATAGTTGGTTTCCAATAAAAGAAGAATGTCATACCGAGAGATAAACCTTACTTTGCCACTCCCTACCTACCCATCATGGGTTACATGTTTTACAAGAAAAAATGTAAATATTAAAATAGAATAAGAAAATATTTCCTCGGAAAATCGGCGTAAACTTGGTTGAATACCCGTTTCATCCATTCAATTAAAAGAAGGAAGGAAAAAAAAAAGAATGTGTGTATATATGGACAACGAAAACAACAACAACAACAATTGAAATGACAATTTACTATTTTGTGTGATTATGTGTTGTTTGTATTAGAATCAATCACTTTTTTGGAAAAACTTAATAATAGCGGGTGCATAAAAAAAAAAAATAAATAAATCTTGATGTTCATATCATACATAACTCGGTGCGTACTCGGCAACTCCATTGAAAAGAAAAAAAAAAAAATTTACACTTGATAATTTCTTTTTTCAATATAAATATTTATTAAACCTTCCCGACTAGTCGTAATGATAAACCGGTTTCTGTTTTAATTTTGTATTCGTATCACCATCCTTTTTGAGGAAAAAGATGTCTTTGTGTAAAAAAGGTAAAGTAGTATCAGAAAATTGTTGTTTTTAAAGTTGGGTCACCGAGTGGTTGGTGCCGTGCGGTGTTGGTGGCTTGGTCCAATCCCAAACAAGCCTAAAGCATGCGATGCTGCGGGCAATCAGCAGTTATTTATATTATTATTAAAAAAGAAAAACAAAAAGGTATGTAGATTGCCGAAAACCTAAACAATAGGAAAGTTGTGACCCATTTTCGATGAAATCAGATCCGTTCATGTTTACATTCTTTTTTGGAGGCGCGCGCGAAAAATATCTTTATTATCATCTTTGTATGGTTGAGAAAAAAATCATGAGGAACTTTTTTGCTGTAAATAAATTGATTGCCAATCTAGAAATGCCATCAGAAAAAATTAGACATCCTTGTTGATTTATTTGATATCATTCAAATAAATGACAATCAAATCAAAAAAGGCGTTTTTTGGGGATTGACAACTTGTTCATTACGTCATTATTTTGTACGCTCTGGCTGGTCCCTTCTCATTAGTTCTTTTTATATGCTACTCAATAATACAAATTTAATTAACAACTTCCGATTTATTTGCACGAGGGTGCGTAAGACGATTTTAATTGACCGACGTTTTTGTTTGGAATTAACTAATTAGGAGTTTGAAAGCGACTCTGATATTGATTGTGTGTCATAGTCAATCCTGCTGCGCCGCGTTTCGATGTGCGTCATTTTGAGATGATTTTGTTTTATTTTTTTTTTTTTTACACATCTTCACGTGAATGAAAAAAATTTTTTTTTTTTTCTTTCTTTACGTGTCAACACATCCGAAAATCCACAAAATAAGAAAACCATTTTCAAACTAAGAACTATGGGCGTTTTTTTTTTTTTTTTTTTTTTTTTTTTTTTTATCATCTCTTTTTTTTTGAACTTATGTAACTCGGATAACCCGGACAACTCGGATAATTATAATTCTTTTCATTCCCAAAAAATTTTTTTTTTTCTTTATCATACATCTACAGAACAACAAACACGCAACCACCTTAAAACGTTGTAATTCGCATAACCCTTGTACATAATGTCGCTCACATAACATTACATACATTTACATCTTTCTTTTTTTGATAGTTCATAGAAGAATCAAATTACACTTGTATATTATTTTATTACGCATTTTCCGAAATAATAAATTCTAATTTTAAATTCTTTTTTTTTCCTTTTTTCTTTTATTATCAAGTAGGGAAGGAATGTATCACCCATCTACTTAAGGTCATATGATTGGCCAAGTATCACCTTCTGATTAATGATACCCTTTTTATCCATCCCTTTTTCATAATGAACGCAAGTTTTTTTTTTTTTTCTTTCTCTTAGTTTAATTAGGTTTCCTCTTGAATTTCTGAAACACACTCATGGTAATGTGCATTCATTTTAAATGGGATCGTTACACTGATGCACAATCACGGTTTAATTTCAATTTCAGAGATTTTTTAGTTTTAAAAAAAAAATTGGAAAACGCGTCAGTCTTTATTTTTTGCGCGTTTTTTTCAGTCTTTTATTACGTTATTGATATGTATTTATTTTTTTTTCTTAAGGTTATATAGTTTTACAAAAAGTTTAATAAAAAAAAAGTTCTCGGTTTTTCAATTCTTAAAATAATTCTTTAATTATTGGTTGTTGTAATAACGAATTTTGTTTGAATTAACAAATATTTTGTTGCGAGGAAAAAAAAAAAAAAAAAATTGAAAAATTGAAAAGCTTAGAGGTGGATGGAATAAAAACTATTTTTTTTTGGCGATTTTTTTTTTTTTTTTTTTTTTTTATGCCAAAGTTGACTACTAAGTCTAATTTTTGAAAATTTTATTATGTTAATAATGTATGTTATGTTGCAAAGAAAGAATAAACTAAAAAAAAGATGCTAAAATTACAGTACAAATGCAAAGAGAAGAAAATATATAAAAATATCTAAAGAAAAAAGAAAAAAAGAGAAAGGAAGCTGTACAAGAAAGGAAAAAAAAAAAAATTTTTCTTTTTGCGTCAAATAAACGCCTTTACAAAATGAATAGTTCTTTTATTATTGTAAAAAAAAAAAAAATTGAAATTTGTCGCATTCAATCGCAATTACACTACGGTAGTTGGAAATGACAAATTATTAATTGGGAAACCAGAAGATCCCGGTCTTGAGTTGATGAGATTTGATTGCATTCGTCTAGCGGTGATGTACACCATCGGATTTATGAAAGTTGTGTATTGAGCTTGAGAAGTTCTCACGGGAACACTTGTTGAATATGAAGAGCGAACATCATAATTCGCCTGCTGAGGTTGCTGCCTTCGCGAAGAATGACTGGTTGTGTACATCACGGACGATGAATTTGAGGTGGTCGTTGGGAGATTATAATAAGTAACTTGTTGAGTGGCACCGGAGCTCGATGGTGGGGTTGGGTACGCGATCGTTTGAGTATATTGTGGTTGTGATGATTGAACAACCAATTGTTGTGAAGCCGGAACGCTCGTGTAAACTGGATATAAACTGGTCCTTTTCGGCGGTGATACCATGATCCCGTCAAAAGCCTGTTCGGCAGATCTCTTGAACCCGGTTGACATTGATTGAACGGGAACGAGAATCTGTTGTTGTTGTTGCTGTTGCTGCTGCTGCTGCTGTTGTTGTTGAGGTGACAAATATGATTGTGAATATTGGACTTGCTGTGGTACAATCATGGCACAATCGGGCGAGTTATCATCGTTTTCGCCTGACGCGATGAAAGAGTCCATCTTTCGCAACCATTCAAAATATTGTTGTTCGGAAACGTACAACTCGTAATCCAACGAACTCAAGAATTCCATCTCCATCGTATTAATCTCTGAAACCGGAATGTTTGTAACTTCAGACCATGTTTTGTTTGTATAGGTGTTATCATCCAAAAATTTGTTTGCCAACATGAGAGCGACGGTGAATGTCCTGTACTCGGAACCACTCTGACCCTTGATTGTGGGATTATTGATCTTCATTCGATGAATGTAAAGTAGGGATAAGAGGATCACGGAATGGGAGACTTGAGTGGCAGAGATAACGTCTTTACAAAACTTTTTAAACGCGTCCCTTGGTTTGTATTCAGCGTACCTCCTGTGACCATTCCCACCTGGGGGTGGTGGTGGAGCTATTATTGAGGGAGTGTGAGGATCCATCAAGTAATCACCGAACCACAGGAAGCAAGTCATATGAGAGGCGAATTCTGTCGCGCGCTCCACAGGTACTTGCTCCAGTAACGAAACCTCTTGAGATATTATCGAAGGATTCTTGGTTATGTTATGATTATTAGACTTTTGAGGAGGTGGTGGTGGCTGTTCTGTGTAATATTGCATCGTGGATTTCTGTTGCTGTTGAGCCCTTGAAGTATAATGTTGTTGATCTAATCGCTGTATATTATTATATTGTGTTTGTTGTTGATGCACTTGTCTCTGTGGAATTGGTGGAAGTGGTTTTCTCTGTAAATTTATAGTTTGAAGCGAAGAGAAGTTTGAGGTGGTGGGGGCCGGAGCGAGTGTGGTGGTTAAATACATGTTTTGTCTTTTTACTTGTAGCTGTGTAGACTCTTTGAGATAATTCTATCGATTTCCTTTGGAGTGTGAAATTTTACCGCGTTTAAATGAATTAATTATGTTCTAAAAGAAAAAAAAGAGATATTATATATATATATATATATATATATATTATTTTGCGTATCGTACGTAATTTTGTTGTTGCGTAGCAAAAGGTAAATAAAATTTTAATAGCCGCGTCTGTCTCTTCTTCCTCTTGATTAAAAGAAGCAAAAGAAAATTTTTTTTTTTGTGTTGTAAAAAAAATAAAAAAAACCCAAAGTCAAACAAAATGGCGGTTTTTTATAAATTTTTTTAATCAATTGTTTACTTTTGTGAATATATATATATTAATTGATCTTATTCTATTTATTACATAAAAAAAAAAAAAAAAAAAAAAAAAAAAAGTGGGGGAACGTACATGAAATTTATATAAAAGTGAGTTTGTATAAAAAAAAAAAAAAAAGAGTATCGGGATATTATTAGTTTTTTCTTTTTGAAAAAAAAGATAAAGTTCCAATTGTGTAAATGTTGTTAAATATAAAATATAAAAATGGATTAGACTTGGTTTTTTTTTTTTTTTGAATGAAAAGGCTTATTTATTTATTTATTTAAAATAATCAGATTATATTATGAGTAATAATATAATTGATTGTGATACTTGTTGTGTGTATATATTTATTATTACACTTATTATACTCGGCTTAAACTTTTATATATACTATATGTAAACTAATTTAGGAGATAAAAAAAAAAAAAAAAAAAATACAAGTCAAGATGTAAGTTTTTTTTTTACTATAAATCCATAACAGTTGGTGATTCAATCATATGATGATGTAGATTATATTTATATTATTATTATTATGACTATAAAAAAGTAAACAACAAAACCTTATAAATTTATAATACAATAATCACCACATAAATAATCAATCCTGTTTGATGATTTTAGCTAATTTCTTTTTTAGTGTAATGACAGAAAAATTCTCTTGAAATTTTTAGTTTGAAAGGAAATAAAAAATTTCGAATTTTTTTTTGATTGTTGTTTGTTTGATTGATTGGGGAAGTAAATGTAAACTACCCGCCAGTGAAAAAAAATGTGAAAGAGTTGCAAAATTAGTGATTAATTAAATAATTGGGGCGAAGGTTGAAATTGTGAGGTAAATAATAATAAAAAAAAATAATTTGTCCCTATTTTTTTTATGATGATGTCGCAAGAACCAACATTCGTCCTTTGCAATCCTCAATAGGTTTCATCTAATTGATTATACAAAATAGAAATAGATTCTTTTTAACCAGATTCTAAAATAAAATAAAAAATAAATTATCATACTAAAATATACGCGCAGCCTGCACAATCGTCATTACCCACCCCCTTTCCTTCTTTCCGTTTAATATTCCGCCCCCGATAAACATGTTAGTCATACTGTAGGAGCTTTCTATTATTCTTTCTGTTATTTGTCTCGTTTTTTTTTTCTTTTTACATTCCGCGCCCATCAATTGTTGACATTCCACAATTTCATAATCAATTTCAAAATAAATAAATAAATAATATACAATACTTTTTTTTTTTTTCTGAATTCAAATTTATTTATCTATATTATGGAATTTACATATGACACAACACATCGATTCCTTCTCCATTTAACCATTCATCAAACATGTTGATGTGTGTTATTCCTAAGAATTAACCATAATCCTTGTTCGCGCGAGAATTCCTGACCTATCATGTGTTAAAAATCTGCTCTAACCTTCCAAATTGTGAAACGTAAAGTCGAAATTTGTGAATAAGAGATAACCTATAACCGAATCCTAACAAATTAATATGAATGATTTTTATTTCCCATAATGGAAGGTATGACACGCTTTTTATTTTTTATCCCTTTGAGCGTATCAAAGAAAAAAAAATAATTCATGTATTGTGAAAATCCATTTATTTTATTTTTTTTTTTTTTTCTTTTAAAGAAGGAAAAAAAAAAAAATAAAATAAAATAAAATAAAAAAAGAAGATATTACTTGACTTCTTGTGTAAAAAAAGATTTGGTAATTCTCCCTGCATTGAATAATCGCTTTGATGTCTCTACATCACATCCTCATACAATTTCACCTTTTTGTTATCTTTTAATATATCCTCATTATTTGAACGTGCGTGTAACCCACACTCTAGGTTATCTTTTTCGTCAACCTACCCGCCCTCTCATTATAAATTACTAATGTAAGCATGTGATTATATTTTGCGATTTTGATTATATTAATTCGATTGATTGATTAGGATTTTATTGATTATCACACACGTATTTCTTTCTGTTCTTTCTTTAAAGGAAAATTGGGATCAACAAAAATATAAATACCGAGTTTTGTTATGTTAACCATAGGGAAACTTTTTTGTCTCATTATTTAATAATTGATACCTTTGGAACCAATAATACAAATTTTTAATATATAATTTATGTGTGGTGGTATCACATAACCTAAAACATTTAATTAAAAATTATATATATATATATATATTTTTTTTCCTTCTTGTAATAATAATAATAATACAAAGAGAGGTGTGTGTGATTTTTATCACGCAACACATCTATCTCCTCGTTTAATTTCAATTATGGACGTTTTGATAGATACCAAATAAACTAGTGTAATTTTTCTTTTAAAAAAAAATAATAATTTGTTGGAAAATTGATATTATTCTATCATGCTTATTCTAATTTGTTTATTACACAACTATGTGTAACAACCAACCAATTACAATTTGAGAAGAACGAAAAAAAAAAAAAGGAATGCTGAAACTCTTTTTTTACCCAAGCTTCAAATGGTAATGATTTACCGTCTGCGATGGCCCGGAATTTCCCAAACAACTTTTTTTTTTATACAAAGTTTATGACACTTATCAAATGGAAATTCTCGATTCTAATAAGACAATAAAAAAAATATATACTTTTTCTTCTTCAAACAATTGGAATTGCAGGCGAATGTCATTTGCTCAAAAAGATTTGTCATATTAATTAGGTATATTGAGAATACCAAATAATATTTGATATTTATATATTTATATATATACATAATATTATATAAATATTTAATTTACTATATTAAGTTTAAAGTAGGCAAGAATGTAAAAGATTTGTCCTTTTGCAGGAATGCGCGTCTTTTTAGTTTATCTGATATTTCCGTAATGATCTTGTAAGATTATTCGTATCCTTGACCTAAATCACCTAAATTATATTAACTTATTTAAACCATTCCGTTTATTAAATAAATACCTTTTTTTTTTTTTTTTCGAATAATTTAATTTTAAAACCCGATCGAAATTTGTTTGAAATTTCAAAGGATTTTCAATCCTTACAATTAAGGTAAATATTTAATACTGAAATTCAAAAGTTTCAATTCCTTAAAATTTCTAAATTTCAATATTATTTAATTTTAACTATACAAAATTAACAAACCGATTATTAATTAAAAGATTGATCCTTTAAAATTAATTACTGGTTTTTATTATAAGCTATCATTAATAATCATATTGCTTCAAGCAAATAAAAAATCATAAATCATATTTCATTTTATTTAATATTTAATAAATATAATATTGTAATAATAAAATCATTAACAAGTAATATTATCTATCATATTCATTATATAGTTAAACTCCTGTATAATCATATCCCTCAGGACTAAAAAAAATTGGTATTACTAATAATAATGTATTTTATAAGAAAGAAGTGACTATATAAAAAGTGAATATTTAAGAAGTCAACTGTAAAGAATTTTAATATAATCTTTATTATATTAAAGCCTCATTAAATATTCTATATGAGTAAATCACATTATAAATCATGTAATTTACTATGTCTCATATTTGATTTTACTAACATATATTAGAAAATTTTATAAACCTAACATTAATGTAAATTATATTTCATAGAATTATATAAATTTATATTTAAATATAAGATAAATAAAAATTAATCTTTAATAATAAATTTATAATATATTAAAATTTTATTTTAATATAATTAGCATATTTAAGTTGATCTTAACACTATGTAATTGATTTAGTATATGATAAAAAAAAAGGAAGCATTTCCATATTGCATCTAAAATGATTTTCTATTTTTAAAGAATTTAAACACACTTAAGATACTAGCAAAATAAGTGAAAAAAAATATCATCAACATGATCTTTACCTCAAGTTAAAATTATATGTTTTTAATGAATTTTAATTAGAAGTTAATGATTTGATATTTACTTTAATGATTCTTTTAGGTTTTCTAAATTTATTATATAAATTTGCATCTATGATATAATAAAGAAAAGAGTTTATACTTTTATTCTTATTCTTTATCTTTAATACTATTATCAGTTATAAAACTTTTAATTCTATTTTTAAATTTAATGAAATAATAATATTAATACAATTTTTTCTTGATTTTTTTTAAACATTTTATCAAAGAATATGATAAATTTTTACAAAAACTAAAACTAAGATTTCATATCATATAAGATTTATAAACTTTATTACTTAAGTATATAGAATCATTTAGCAAGATATTTATTTTACATTAATATTAGATCAATTTATAAATTAGTTCTTATTTTATTATTTGACTATATTAACTATATTAACTTTATCATCTTATTCTAATTAAATATTTTAGAAATATTTATATATATATAATCTAATAAAATATTTCTCATTTCTGAATTATCTTACTTATTTATATAATCTATAAATAATGTAATAAATTATTATATAATAAATTTTATTTTCTGTCTTTAAATACAAATGCACTATTTTATACTAAAAGTTCTTCTTTGCTTTTTCTATTTAATTTTATTACTGATCCTTTTACTTATTATATATTAAACATAAAATTTTATTAGATTTTTTATTCTTTTTATAAAATAAAAAGCTGATAAAACTATTATTTCTGGTATAATTTTATTTGTTATACAGTTTGTTTCATAATAAGTTATTCAATAAAACTATTAAAATTAAAAATTAAATAAAAATTTTTTAGTATATATATTTAAAATATCTCAATGTAAATTGATAAATATTAACTAGTACTATAAAATGACGTTAAAATCATTTCAATTTAAAATCTATATCAATAATTATTAACCAATAAAGTTTGATATTTTCTTAAATTGAAATAACCTGAATTAGATTTGAAACATATAATTCTAACTCGAATTAAATTTAAAATATATCTTATTTTAAATTATGTCTAAATTAGAGTTTATATAAATAATTTAGATAGCATGTATACATTGATCAATTATTTTTTTTACTAATGAAATGTTTAAAATAACAAATTAAATAATGTCAAGAGATAGTAAAAAAGAAAAATTCATTATACAAAAAATAAAGATAATACTTGTTTCAATGATACTTTAAGTTCAGATGATAAAGTTAGCATAGATGATGAAGTTAGATAAACTGATAAGAATGAGACAGAACAGTTTATTTTCAGTTTTAATTAAAAATATGAAAACTTTAAAATCTTTCAAACGTCCTTTAGTAAATGTAGAAATTCTTAAACAACAAAATATTAACAAAAATTAAAGTAATAGAAAATCAAAAAAAAATGGACAAATATTATATCAATTATTAAATATTAAAAATAATACTAGTAATTCCTCTGATAGTTATTCTTTTAGTTTTTCTAATGATAATTTCTCTAGTTCTAATGATATTTCCTCTAATAATAATTTCTTTAGTTCTGATAATATTTCTTTTAGTAATAATTTCTTTAGTTCTAATGGTATTTCTTCTGGTAATAATTCTTCAAGTTCTGATGTGTAATAATTCTGATAATATTAATTTTGATACTGAATATATTAATAAAATTGTAAAAAATGTGCAATTAAATGCATTAATTAATAAAATTGAAAATAAGCTAAAGGTTGAAAATGAACATTTAACTTCAGAATATAAGTTGCGACTTGTAGCTGTTTAACATTATTTATAACTTTTTAATAAAGGATATGCAAAGTTAAAAGCAAGTCAGATTGTTGCAGACCTTTTAAATCGAAATATAGTTTGCTTGTTATATTAAAAGTTAAATTAAAGCATTTATTAAATATAGTAATATTTTTAATAATAACTGTAAAAAATATTTTAAAAAAGTAGTATTCTTGATGATAAAATATTCAATTAAAAGTAATATCATATTTACGATAATATAAATTTAATATAATAGTTAACAGTTTTTGTAATTATATTATCAATAAAATCTTATCTTTTGTTGGTATTAAAAAAAAATAAAAATTAGGTACAGTCAACTCTTGTTATAACGAACTCTATGTCTTAGACCTCAACTTCGTTATAAGGCTATAGTGAAGATTTTAAGAGATTTGATTGGCTAATTCGCTAAAAACAAGAGTATTTTTATTATATTTGTTCAAAAAATTCATTTTATCAAAGTTCGCTATATCAAGAGTTGAGTGTATAAGCTAAACTGTTATAGATTCTGATATTATAACAGTTTTTTAAAATGTAAATTATTTTATAGCCATCTAGAATCTTATTTTAACTTTATAATTTTAGCCTTAAACTTAGCATTTTTAACATTATATAAAAACTTTTAATAAATCAATGTTTGAGTGATTGCCATTTTTTTATTTACATAATAACAAATATTATAATCAGAAAATTTAAAATACTTTTAATTATTCTTTAAGAAAATTTTCAATCTGCAAGTTTATTTGTATTGAATCTACAATAAGATAATGTTACAATTAGTTATTATATAATACTTATTTGTTACCAATTATAACTAGTTGTAACTTAATTTTTATTAATGTCACAACTAGTTGTAATCTGTTAATGCTTATTTATCTACTATTTATAATATTATATTATCTTTACTCTACATAATAAAACAAATGTTATTATATACAATATATAAACTAGTATATAAGCATTTTTATATCATAATAAACAAATTATTCTTATTATAATATATGATTTTATTGTAAATATTTTATTAATACAAAAATAATAATACATAAATTTACTAAATAATGGTTATATATTAATTTTTATTATTTATACTAATATATTATTTCTATATTTCAATTTGTTTGTCAATTATATTTAATTTATAAAATAAAAATTATCACATTAATTCTCAAATTATAAATCATTTCATGTGATTATATCAAATTGATCATAATATAAACGCTTTGCAGTAAAAAGAAAAAAAAATTTTTTTGGTAGTTTTCTCTTTTTCTACTGCAAAGTACTTACTTATTCATTTAATTAGTAACTAATAAATTTATATTATACACAAATATAAAAAATAAATAGACTACAAAATTAATTTATATTATATTAAATTATAAAAAATATTATACATTTTTCTTTTAAAATTTCAAGAATAATAAAATAAAATATAATAAAATGAGAAATAACAAAATAGTAGAAGAGTAATAGGAAAAGAGAAATAATAAATTGTATATTATAAAGAGTATTAATGGTAAAATAAGCAATAAAAATATTGATTTAAATAAGAGAAACAGATTTTTTTATAACTTAACAACAATACTTATAAGAGATAATGAACTTGTTATAGTAATATTCTATGTTTTATTTGATAGCTCAAACTTGTAAAACAGATAATCATTCCTATAATATAAATTTTAAAATCTAAATTTTGAATAAATTAATCTAACCAAATTTAGATATAATCAGCAAAATAATAACATGAGATGAAAATAATCTTTTAGCTAGCAAATTCCTTACATGTTAGTTTTCACATATTTTTTTTTGTTTATTTTTTTATCTAACCTATAAAAAGAGAACATATCAAATACTACTGTTTCTTCTGAAGTGAATGACATTTATGCAAAAATTTATCAGCTCAAAAACAATTTTACTGAAGAAAAAATTAATTCCTTATACATATTTTTCATTAATGATTCTAATAAAAAAACTAATATAAAGCAAGCTTTTACTTATCTTAAGAATAATGAAAAAATTGACATATTGAAAAGGATTTTAAACTCAATAAGTATGTTCAATTTATATAGTCTTTTTTAGTAAGTGATAGTTTTGATCAACACGAACGTGACGTTTAAGTCTGTATTATTTATTAATAATTTGAATAATTTCAGATAATAAATCACTCACAAAGCATCCTAGATTAATCAGAGATGTGTTATGACAGGACTCTAAATAATTTATATATAGATCAATTCAGAATTTCAAAATTTATTAAGATCAATAAACAAATGATTTTAACTTCTGCTAAGCAAATTTTTATTATGACCTTCAAATTTTTTATACTGCTAAGCAATTTATTTTATAACATATATATGTAAAAATTTTTTTATTAATTTTAATGGATATTTTAATCTTTTACTAATTTATTATTAGCAATTATAATTATATTATATTAATAATCCTATTTTTAATAGTAACACAGTTAAATATTTCATGTTACTCCTATTAAAGTTAACGATATATCACTAATTATTATTCCATTTGATTTAATATGATATATAAGATTTTGAGGATAATGATGTGTAAATAATATATAACCTTCTACAGTTTGACTTGCAAAAAATATTAAGATGAATTGGCAAATATACTTATAATAAAATATAAGATAAATCTTCAATTTGAGTAATTGCATTTTGACTATAACAATGGTTACTATAATTTTCATAATACATTGCTATTACTTTAACAATACAAATTTTCATTTCATATAGTACAATTATATAATTATCTTGCTGCAATAAAAAATCTTAAATAATATTTGCCAATTAAATATACATAACTATATTTTAAAAATAATAAATTATTAATAAATTAAATAATTAAATTATATATTTAAAATATATTATATTAAGTTTATATTTACTTTCATTTGTAATTTTATTCTACTTTAATAATTCATATTGCTGTAACTTACAAGATTAGTTATCATTATTTTTTAATTTTCTTTCTAATGCTTTTTATGTTGTTTTACAAACTGCATTTCAGGATCATCATTATTTGTAAGATGTAAAATTATATGACTAATCTTATTTGGATTAATAGTATTTATTTTTTATGACCAATCATATGTGTACGATTTTGTTTTTCAATTGGTCTTGAATTATATGATACTTTCGTAATATAATCATAGTTGAATAATCCAAATCTCTTGCTAAAAGTAGAATCTTATCAAAAATCTATGTTAATATTTAATAATATATTCAGTTATTAAAATTTTAATATAAATAAACATATCATAAGTTAGTTGCTTATTATGAAAGATTCTTATAGTATTATTTATAATTAAAATAATTTGCATTTAGTGAATTTGATAATCACTATTTTTGTTCTCAATATTTGAAAAATTAAAAATATTATCAATTATACTAGTAGCATTTTTGGAAGCTTAACTAATTGCATCAGAAATCTTTCTATAAATTTCAAAAAATTCATCTAAATTATTTTCAAGTTCTGAATTTGACTTAATTCCAGTTGATATTTTCAAATTTTGCACTTCTATTATTACAAATGGCTATAATAATAATTGATTCATATTTGAAGTAGAGTTTATATCAAGTACTTTAGCAGATCTGATGTCAATTTATATAAATATTTAACAGTTAAAGAAATTTTAGTATCTGATAGCCAAGTATATAATATTATTAATTTGCTTGAATCAATATTTCCTATATTATCCCTTCAAGTGTTTTGCAGGCAAATTTGCCTGCAATTTTATTTAATAATTAAAATTATTTATAATAATTTTAAATATTTTTAAAATA